TGAGTTTCATAACTGTTCTCATTTATCCTAGCATTTCTTTCAAATGTATCTAGATGTACAGTAATAGGATATGTTTAAATAAATTATACATATTTACAATGCACCTTTATCCAATCACTAACTAATGGACTAACATTATAATATTAAAATTCTGATATTTATGTTGTATTATAGGATGATCATTTTTATTAAATCATAGAAAAATTTCATGCAAATACATTTGCATATATATTTAATCATGGAAGAAACACACTTAGTTTGTACTAGGTTGTAGAACTATAGGTACCTTTTAATCTCTGTTAAAATGCTCATTTTTTTTCTTGGACTGGGGATATAGCATAGTAGGAGAGTGTTGAATTATTTAACTGATGTTACTACTTTTATTATCTTTTGGAAATGGTTATAAAATTAGAATCAGATTTTTAAAAATTACTGCTATCGTTGTCATCAATATTTCAAGGTTATATTCATCTAAGTTTTCCCAGATTAAAACCTAAGTGTAATAAGCTCAAGCTTTTATGATGTTTCAAACCACTATAATATCCTTCATTCATTTCACTCACTTAAACCAAATTTTTGAACCAGTATCCACATTACATCATTTCTATCCTAGCTTGAAGGGTAGAAAGTTCTTTGTGAATGTTAATTAAATGGATAGATAAAATGATGCACTAACAAAAGAAAAAAAATAAAAAATGAAGGAAATACTCTCCACTTAAGTAAGTGCTTTTGGTCTATTTTCCACAGTTGGAAAAGAAAACACAAATTTGCAATAAGGAATAAATCCTACCTTTATTAAAATATTTCTTTCTATATTCATTCTACCCCCCTCCCCATGTATACATGCTAACACAAACATTTTTTCACTTATCTACCGTTATTTGGGCACTATGAGTGGAGTTCTTGCCTTTTTTTTGTTCCCATAGAGGTTAACTTGATTTCCATGTCAGCATCTGTGTCTGCTCTTCTGAAATACTTCCTTGGGGACACATAATACCCATTTTCCCTTAAAGGCTTGATTCAATAGTGCAGATGTTGAGAAATTGAGCACTTGACATCTGTGAATATGCATTTATTCTAGGATTGTGATTTTTTTTTATCAAGACCTTGAACACTTGGAGTAGATTGTATTCAGCTCATGGTTTTCACATCCAGAAACTAAGGTATTTTGTAGATTGTATGATAGAGTACAGAGGGTCTGTAAGTACACCTTATTTGCTATTTTTTTCCAGAAATAAATCTTTAATTAAATCCTCATAGTTTGAAAGCAAAAATGTTGTGTAGGATTGGGTTCTCTTGGAAAATGTTTATTTCCTCAAATCTAGCATTAAAATTCAGTTGACTTAGGATGATTATGGTTATATGTGTGATTTTTGTATCCAAATAAGAATCTCTATTTTTAAACTCATGATAGAAGTCAGGTATGCATCAGTCTATGACAAGAAGAAATGAGAGACTAGCTAGAGAATAGTTTTCCCCTTATTTCTCAAAAATCATAATGTAGCTTTCTTTGGGTATTTTCTGGAAGCCCAAGCCAACTTTGTTTCCCCCATTTTGAGATAGTGAAATCTAGACACAAGAATCAACCTTTATATAAGAAGAATAACACAAGTCTAAATAATTTAAGGTAGTCTAATGAAAAAATATTACTTTCAGTTTAAGAAAGAGGATAAATAGCAGAGGATATCAAAGCTGAATTTTTTAAATGGTGATAATCACATATAAATATTGCTATTCCAGTTACTCTGCTCACATTCTAGCATAATTAAATTGAATTTATTTGCAGAAGTTAAGGAAATAGTGAAAGAGGATGAATGTGGAAGATGCATTTGGTATCCAAATATGAAAATAGAAGAATGAAAACTGTTGAAATTGTTCTAAGAAGGTGGGGAGGGAGAAAGAGGAAGACTGATGGAGGAGGCAAATCTAGCTAAGATATATTGTAAGCACACATGTAAATGTCACAACATATCCTCTGTACAATTATAACATGTTAATAAAAGTAAAAAATCATTTGCAGAAGAAATTAAATTGATATGCCAAAATTACTATAAATTGGTTTTGAGAAAAGAACTGCTTACATTTGCAATTAGCACCAAGGTACTTAACTTAGATCTTGTGAGATTTACAAATTTATTAAAAGTGGGACTAAATTGTTGTGTAAGCATGAGGCAGTTTTAGTGAATAAAGCTATAGCTATTGCAAGGAAACATGAGTCATTAAATAAAATTCTTGCCTAGTATTTAAAAATCCATCCTTCAGAAAAGTTCATTAGCAATCCAAAAAAAAGTTTTACATTCTATTTTCTGTTTAAGGAGTATTTTATTTTCATTAACTTTTCTACACATGGGTCCATATTTAAAATGCAGCAGAGCTATGGGTACACACTTGAATATGTGTAGGTACAGAATATATCCACAGTACCATTCTCTCCACCCTAGGACTTTCTTCTTTCTGCACAGAAATCACTAAGACACTGAACTAACATGGTCCACTCTTTGTATACTCCAAGAGAAGCTGTGAAATTGCACTGTGCATAGAGATTAACAATGCAATATGTAGCTTGAAACATGTACTGAATACCATAGTTAAGAGGTACCATTCAGTGTATCAAATTGGAGTAGAGGGAGAAAAGAACAGAGACTCTATTGACTATTTCATACTAAATTGATACAAATTATTGAAAAGCATAATTTTGTAAATTTCTCCTGGTAACTGTAATTGTGGCTGCATATATGAACATATGTGTGTACAACTGCTATTCAAAATTTGTATCTAGTTTAATGATACAATATATGAAACTTGAAAATGTATTGACTATCAATATAAATTATAAATTTATCAGGTAAGAAAATTGTTTTGATTTCCAAGGAAAATTATTCCTTGTATTGAAAAGGCCATATTCTATACTTTTTCCTTAAATTACAAATTAATACACTCTTTGAAACTTCAAAGCTAAAATTTTAGTCTATGAATAATATACTTAGCTTAAATAGGAAATTAAGAGTCATTTTATGAGCCGCTATATGATTTAAATGCAATTCTAAAAAATCTTCATTTAGAAATGTTCCCTCTGTATTAAAAAGATGAAAATGTGAATTTCAGTGCTTCTCATGATTTGTGTCATGGAAAAAATCTTATTATATCTGAAAATGAGATAATTTGGCACAATTAACTTTAAGTGAAAACTACCAAGCATTTGGTAAAAATAATTTATTTTTACTGCTCAAATGACTATATTTGTACTGTCTTTGTCATTGCAGTTTTTGTACTTTCTTTGTATTTCCTTTATATCTATAACTTTATGATGATGCCTTATTTACTTATCTTTCCTAAGTAATCTTAAGAAATACATTGTGAATTTTTCCTTCTAGTGGGTTCTTTTATGCATTTCAAGTATTAATGTTTAGATTATAATTTAACAGTTCTCAAAGTCAAGTATAACATGCGATGCATTCATTTATTCACCATTGTTTTAATGGTACATTTACTGCATCTCTAATATGTATGATTTGATTTGCTAGACAGTGGTGATAACCTACTGGGCACATTCCTTACCAGTAATGATTTCATTAAATTGTAGAGCATTCCTAAATATGAATAAATTATAGGATCATGGGGTAAACATAATGAAATCAATTTCTTACTACTTGTAAGAAATTGTTGTCCATTGCTACATTATTTTGGCAAGATAGAGGGGATGGATCACTAGTAAGTTAAAAGACATTTGAAGATTTCTGAAGATGGATTTGCTTGAAGACTGAGTAGGAGTTAGCTATATTGCAGGAGGCTAGGCAAAGGGAACACAAACATAGTATCACAAAACCAAGAGTATCAGTGTTAGAAGTAGGAAACAGGAAAGAACACCATTCTTCCTAGCAATGCTTCAGATCTAGAAACATTTGCCCTTACCTCTAGAATCCTCTTCCAAGATGAGGTTAGACACACAGGTGTGCCTATGATGCCAAGAATAACACTGAGAATTTTTTTTATTTTTATTTATTTATTTATTTATTTACTTCCATTATTACATTTAATCACATGTGCATACATTGGGCCATCCCTACCACCCTTCCAGGCAGAACCTGTTCTGCCCTCTTGTTCTCTAATTTTGTTGAAGAAAAAACATAAGAGATAATAAGAAAGCCATAGCATTTTTGCTAGTTTGAGATAAAGGTAGCTATACAGAGAGATTCAAAACATTGCTTCCATGCACATGTGTATTGGAACTCACATTGGTTCTTTTCTGCCAGATCTCTTCACTACTGCTCAGTCCCCTCCCCATAGTGGCCTCTGCCAGTTTAAGATTACTATATTCGCTCCTCTACAGTGAGCACATAACCACATTCAAGTTTTAGGTTTCCTTCCCTTTCCCTATTCCTCCCATGCACATTCTCCCCTTAGTGTGTGACCCATGTCCAATAATATTATTGTACTTGTTTTGGGTCTATAATTCACATATGAGGGAGAACATGCGATTTGTGGCCTTCTGAGCCTGACTAACTTTACTTAAGATTATGTTCACCAGTTCCATCCATTTACTTGTGAATGACAAAATTTCATTCTTCTTTGTGGCTGAATAAAATTTCATTGTATATAAACACCACATTTTCTTAATCCATTCATTGCTAATGGGCATCTTGGCTATTTCCATAGTTTAGCTATTGTAAATAGTGCTGCAATAAACATGGGTGTACAGATGACTTTGTAATAACCTGAGTTGCATTCCTTTGGGTACATCCCTAGGAACGGTATTGGTAGATCATATGGCAGATCCATGTTTAGTTTTTTAAAAAGCCTCCATATTGTTTTCCAAAGTGGTTGTACTAGCTTCTAATAAGAATTTTTTGAATGAATCAATAAATTAACAATAAATAAGAAACAATATATAAACAAAACTATTCTTTGGCAATCAGAAAATTTGTTTGACCATTAAATTTTAAAAAGGACAATGACCATAGCCTATATTTTCTCTTGTCTTTTTCTTACTTTAGGAAAACCCACATAAATTTTAAGCCATTTGTTTCATGATCATATTGGTCTGACCATGCTCATACAGAACAAAACAGACCTGACCCCAGCTTCATTTGTTCTGAATGGAATCCCAGGACTAGAGGACATGCACATCTGGATTTCCTTTCCATTCTGCTCCATGTATGTTGTGGCTATGGTTGGGAATTGTGGGATTCTCTATCTCATCTACTGGGAGAAATACCTGCACAGGCCCATGTATTACTTCTTAGCTATGCTTTCTCTCACTGACCTTGTCATGTGCTCTAGTACAGTCCCTAAAGCCCTCTGCATCTTCTGGTTTCATCTCAAGGAAATCGGGTTTGATGAATGCCTGGTGCAGATGTTCTTCATCCACACCTTCACAGGGATGGAGTCTGGAGTGCTCATGCTTATGGCCCTGGACCGTTACGTGGCCATCTGCTACCCTCTGCGCTACTCCACCATCCTCACCAATCCTATCATTTCAAAGGCAGGTCTTGTCACCTTCCTACGAGGGGTGTTCCTAGTTATTCCATTCACTTTCCTCACCAAGCGTCTACCCTACTGCAGAGGCAATATACTTCCTCATACCTACTGTGACCACATGTCTGTAGCAAAATTATCCTGCGGCAATGTCAAGGTCAATGCCATCTATGGACTGATGGTTGCCCTCCTCATTGGAGGATTTGACATTTTATGTATCACAGTCTCCTACACCATGATCCTCCGGGCAGTGGTCAGCCTATCCTCAGCAGATGCCCGGCAGAAGGCCTTCAGCACCTGTACTGCTCACATCTGTGCCATTGTTTTCTCCTATAGTCCAGCTTTCTTCTCCTTCTTTTCCCACCGCTTTGGTGGCCACAGGATACCTCCATCTTGCCATATCATAGTGGCTAATATTTATTTGCTTCTGCCTCCCACTATGAATCCTGTTGTCTATGGGGTGAAAACCAAGCAGATACGTGACTGTGTCATGAACATTCTTTCAGGTTCCAGGGATACCAAATCCCACAGCATATGAACAAACACTTTCCAGGAGAAGAGAAGATTATATTTATTTGCCTGGTTAAGTTGGAGATGATCAAATCCTTCTAGAAGTAAATTTTAACCAAACACACACACACACACACACATACACACACACAATGGATGTTGTTGAATAGTGCATTCCCAGAAAGCACCTTGAGAATTTCAACACCACCAGCTAACTCACCAGGCTTTCTATGAATTTTATACCTTCTTACTTCTGTGAAGACTAGTCTAATAAGTATATCAAGTTTCTTTTAACAAAACCAAATGAAATATGAATAAAGCGGAAGTCCTGGTTTCAAATAGTAATTGCAATTTCCAGATTAATTGGCAGTTGTTACTTTCCTCTGGAAATAAATGCTATATATTTATCATCATTACTGATACACTTTTTTCTTCAAACACTTCTTCCTGAAGAAGAATACAGAACATATCCCATAAAAAATAGAACATATCCCATCAAGTCATTAATATAATGACATTTAAATCTTTAGGCATCTCACTAGAATCAAATTATTGGGATCAATAGATCTCTCCTAGTTTGGTCACACTCATAATTATTTCATGGCTATTCAGTTTCCGTTAAGAGGTCTGAAAAGAGTGATAGTACTCTTTACCAAACATAAAAATATACATATTTTTTCAAAGGACCATATGAGAACTGACACAATTTGTTTTATCTCTAATTGTGAATGTAATAAAGAAAATTAAATTTTTTTCTGTTCTTTAAGGACTCTTCTAAATTAATAAAAAGCAATAAACTTGAGAAAGCAATATTTCTTATTAATGTTTCACTAAGTCAATTATATAAAGAATACAGAGTAAACTGATATTTATTCTTACTTTTCTCTATCCAGCTGACAAGAATGTACATTACTTTTCTCCAATTCAGTTTATTGCAGTCATCAAATTATGTTTATGTATTTAATGAAACTTTCTGTACAATCTCACATTTTAAAATCCTATAAAACAACACCAGGTCTGAAATATATTATTCCTCCACACATCCTATTACTCTGTTCATCTTAATCTTAAAGCTCAAAGAAGTTATCAATATTCTCTCCCTCTATTTTCTCAACCTGAATTCATTCTTTCTCCATCTTGTCCTCCTCAGATCCCATCCATCATAAGAAATGGCTTTTGTCAATATCACCAGTGCCTCCATGTTAATACATTAAATAGCTCTTCTTGTGGGGTTATTTGACACTACCTCTCAAGAACATTGAATGAAAATTAGTATATTCAATATTTTGAAGCACTTATTTTTTTAAATTCAGAAACTATGCATTTTATTTATGATGCACACTTGGTTTAACTCTATCCTACTTCCTACATTCTTTTCCTAGGCAGTTTCCTTCACTATCATGATCTTAAACATTATCTGTTAACTGATTCCCAAATGGAAGGTCAGATTCAGAATAAATAAGCTTTCACATATTTATCTTCATAGTATACTGTATCCTTCAAACAGTGTGATATCTCTTGTCCTCTTTCCTCCCACTGTTCTCCTATTTTTCTTTTGTCCTCTAGTTTACCTCCTCAGTGGTCTTAGCCCATGTTTTTTGCATAGGTAAACTTCTTTGAAAGCAGATGCTAACATCAGTGATGATGTGTTTTAACTTAAATCTATCTTACTGTTCTAAAGTCCTGAATCTATCATTTACATTCTCACTTAACACTTTAAAATGTGTTTACCTTGGTATTTATAGCTAACATTTCTTGACTCTTTTTTTTTTTTTCATTTTTCTTTTATTATTCATATGTGCATACAAGGCTTGGTTTATTTCTCCCCCCTGCCCCCACCCCCTCCCTTACCACCCACTCCACCCCCTCCCGCTCCCCCCCTCAATACCCAGCAGAAACTATTTTGCCCTTATCTCTAATTTTGTTGTAGAGAGAGTATAAGCAATAATAGGAAGGAACAAGGGGTTTTGCTGGTTGAGATAAGGATAGCTATACAGGGCATTGACTCACATTGATTTCCTGTGCGTGGGTGTTACCTTCTAGGTTAATTCTTTTTAATCTAACCTTTTCTCTAGTTCCTGGTCTCCTTTTCCTATTGGCCTCAGTTGCTTTAAGGTATCTGCTTTAGTTTCTCTGCATTAAGGGCAACACATTTCTTGACTCTTAAACAATTTTTATTTGTCACTCATCTCCTGCTTGCAGGACAAGCCAAAACCATTGTGGTTTCTTTTCTTTTGGGTTTTTCTTTGGGGGTGGGTGTTTTGTTGTTTTGGGATTTTGTACTTAGCTCCTCATTGCAAAAAATGCTGTCAGCATCAGCTTTCTCAAAATTCTTGATGCTAATCAAAAGTTTTCAGAAATTAGGAGAGATACTTAATTGTAAAAAAATAGCAGAATCTCTGTTAATGGAGATTTGTGGCATTGTCATAAATTTAGTTAAAATTCACATAATATAAATTTACCCTTCTTAATCATTTTAAATGTACAATCCAGAGGTTTTAAGTATATTAAAAATACTGTCCAGATGCCATCAACATATAACTCCAAAATTATTTGAATCTTCCCCTACAAAGGATATATTTTAAGCAATTCTCCTAGTCTCTTGTAAACGTAAATTTTCTCTCATTTCTATGGATTTGCCTATTCTGCATTGTTCACACGAATGAAATAATACAATACCCACTATTGTCTGTTTACTCTGAATTAGCATAAAGCTTCCAAGTTTCACCCATTTTGTAGCATATATCAATGCTTCATTCCTTTTTGTAACTGAATAATATTCCATAATGTGGAAATATCACATTTGTTTACCCATTCATCAGTTAAACATTTAGGATGTTTTCACCATTTGGTTATTATATATGGTGCTGCTTTGAAAATTTTTTTTTGCTCTAAAAATTTTTGTAAAAGGTTTTGGTGAAATAACTTTTAAAAAAGTCTTCTGTTTATATACCTCTCAGTGGAATTTCTGGATTGCATGATAATTCTATGCTTAACGTTTTGAAGGATAGACAAACTGTTTTCCACATTGACCACATTATTTTACATTTTCACTTGATTGGGTGTGAAAAGGAATATTACTTATTATATTTTTGCTTGAATTTCCCATTAACTAATGATACTGAATGTCTTTTTATATGTGTGTGGTCCATTTGCATATTATCTTTGTAGAAACATCTGTTTAAGTTCTTTGTCAGTTTGCTAACTGCATTTTCTTTTCGCTGCTGAATTGGAAGAATTTGTTTTATGTTCTGGATACTAGACCATTAAGGAATGGGATTTGCAAATATTCACTCCTATTCTGTGAATTATTTTCAGTTTCTTGATAGTAGATTTAGATGCACAAACTTTTATTTAAGTTTTGATGATGTACAATTAATCTGCCCCTACTTTTCCCCTAATATTTCTTCCTTTGGACACACGTCTTAAAAAAACATGGACCAATGAAAAGTCATGAAGATTTATGCCATTTTTTTCCTCTAAGACTTTTGTGGTTGTAGCTTTTGTATTTACACTCCTAATTCCTTTTGAGTCAATTTTTGTATATAATATGTAGTAAGGACTCAACTTTATTTTTGTCAATATGTAGATCTTGCTTTCCTCTTTCTTCATTGAGTGGTCTTGGTTCTCTATTCAAAATATGCTGGTTTATTCCATTGGTCTATATACCTACTTTTATTCTACTAACAGACTTCTTGATTACCATATCATATAATACAGTAAGTTTTGAAATTGAGACATGTAAGTTATTCAGTTCTGTTTTTTTCATGATTATTTGATATATTTGGGATTCCTTGCTGTTTTATATGTATTTGAGCATTGACAGTTTTATTCCTGCAGAAGAAGCAGGAATTGGTAGAAATCACATTGAATTTGTTGATAACAGTGGACAGTGTTGTTGTTGTAATAATTTAATATCCTCCAATCTGTTTTCTTTCAGCAATACTTTATACTTTTCATTGTACAAGCCTTTGCCAAATTTATTTCTGAATACTTACACTTTTGATGCTATTATAAATGAAATTACTTTCCAATTTCCTTTTTTTGGGTTGTTCCTGGCTAGCTTATGGACATACAAATGATTTGTATGTGTGTGTGTGTGTGTGTGTGTGTGATTACCTGATATCCTGCAAACATGCTAAACATTTTTTATAAACTGTAGTAATGTTGTTGTGAATCTTTAGTATCTGTATTTTTTTTTTGGCATTCCTGGCATTTGAACTCAGGGCCTCGTGCTTATTAGTCAGACACTCTATCTCTGAGGTTATTCCAACAGTCCTGTGATGAATATTTGAACTTCCTTTCATTCTCATGGTCCTGGGGTTTGAACTCAGGGTCTTGTGCCTACTAAACAATTGTTTTACCACTTACCCACACACTGTTTTGCTTTTTAATTATTTTTGAGATAGGGTTTTGAGGTTTTTGCCTAGGTAGGAAGGCTTGGCCCATAATGATTCTTCTACTTGTGCCTCCTGCATAGCTTGGATTATAGTGTGTACCATATCCCCAGTTTCTTTGTTAAGATGGAGTCTCTCTAACATTTCCTTGAACTTCACGCTCCCTGACCACCACTTCTAAAGTAGTTGGGATTATCAGGTGTGAGTCACCATGCTTGGCCAGGATTTTCTAATTAAGTAAAGATACTTTATTTTTTTTTCTTCCTAATTTTAATGTGTATTTTTTTGTTTAATTGTCATGGTTACACCTTACAGACAATGTGGAATAGAACTGGTAAGAGTGAATATAATGCGAAAAATCATATTGGCTTTTAATGGGAGTGTTTGATCCATTTACATTACTCATGGAGAGGACCCAATTCTTCCATTTTGCTATTTGTGTTCTAATATGCCATTGCTTTTAAAATAGACAAAGGACTTGAAAAGACACATTTAAGACTATTTTTACTGGCATATGCTAATTGTATAAGGTGAGGGTTCTCATTGTGATATATTTCCATATGTGTACTTTGATTATATTTATCCCCTCTATTACTCTTTCTTATTCTTAGTCCTCCCTTTTAAAACTTTCTTGCAAAATTTT